GGTAATTGCAAAAAAACTGGAAACAACCTCAGTGTCCATCAGTTGGGGACTGTTTAAATGAGTGTCCATCCATCCACACCATGGAATGCTATACAACTGGTTTGTGTGGGGTTTTTTATTTTTTGTTTTTGGCCAAGCTGCCCGGCTTGCAGATCTTAGTTGCCTGACCAGGGATTGAACCTGCGCCCTCAGCAGTGAAAGTACAGAGTCCTAACCACTGGACAACCAGGGAATTCCCACTATAAAACTGTTAAAAAGGCCAAAGCTGATCTTCCCTGAGACGCATTAATGTAAAAAGCAGGAGAGCAGGGCTTCCCTGGTGGCGCAGTGGTTAGGGGTCCGCCTGCCGATGCAGGGGACGCGTGTTCGTGCCCCGGTCCGCGAAGATTCCCACATGCCGCGGAGAACAGTGAGAGGCCCGCGTGCCGCAAAAAAAAAAAAAAAAAAAAAAAAGCAGGAGAGCAATAATTTGTGTATGTCTTTTAAAATTCGGGGCTGGGGGAAACTTTTATCCAAATATCTCTGAAGGAAACACTGGTCACAGCTGTGGCCTCTGGAAAAGGAATCAGGGATCTGGGGATCGGCGAGGGAAGCAGTCTCATGTTCCTCTGTAAACCTTTTTGTAAAGTTTGCATTTTAAAAATCGTGTGCGTGTATTACCCTTAAAATAATTAAAATTTGTTTTGAAAAATTTCTGAAGAGGCTGCTGTAAGGACGGGAACAGCAGCACTTGAAACTCTGATCCCCCCTCAGCCAGTCCTGCTTATTATCCCCCCAGCCACCTTGGAGGTGGCTTGGTGGTGCCTGATCAGGGCCTTTACTGGGAGAGGACCAACTTGGGGTGGGGGGAGGAATTGGAGGGCCCCCCCACCAAAGGAGGAGGTGAGGCTGAGGGGAGGGATGAGAGTCTAACCGCTTTGTTCCGTTGCTGGCCACCAGGGGTCACCCCAGTCTGCAGACCTGGTTGCTGCTGGCTGAGGGCCCAGAACTTGAGAGGCAGGGAAGATGGGTCTGAGACACCCACCTCCCCCTGCAACTCTGGCGTAAATCCAGAAGTGAGCAGGAAACAGCTTCTCCTTCTGGAGTCAGCTAGGGCTTGAGACTGGCCTTGCCTTGTCTGGGGCCCCAGGAGCTTCAGACCCTCACTGTGGGGTCCAGGGCTGATGCACACAAAGGGCTGGGCTCAGGGCTGTAAATGGGACCTAAAATATTATCATTACTATTCACTTATTCTGCTAGCTTCACCTTGGCCATACCTGCCAGATCCCTGAAAATCAGCTCCGGGGAAATGGGGAGCCACGGGAGGTGTGTGAGCGGGAAGGGTACTGTCAGATCTGGTTCCCCAGCCAGAATGGAGAATCCCCCAGCTGCCTTGCCTTCCAGACCCCACCTGCCTCCCTCCCCACAGGGCCAGCCCCCAGCCTGCCCTTGCTCTGTTGTGCCTCCCTGTCTCCACCTGTTCAGTTACCACTCAAAGTCTCTGTCTGTCCCTCTGTCTCCGAGTCTTTACCTCTGTGTCTCCACCTTGTCCCCAGCACACTCTCCCAGGTCCCTGCCCTGGCCTCCCCTATTCATGGTCACACTGGGGTCCCTCTGTGGCTACAGAAACAGGAGTGTATGGGAGGGGGGTGGAAAGGGGAAGCCTGGCACAAGCTGGGTCGAGGGCACTGGGGACAGCAGCAGCCTGACCTTGTTGGCGCCCAGTCCCAGGTAAGAAAGTGGGTCACCTTTTTTCAACAAGGAACACGGATGCCCAGAGAGGACAGGCTCTTCCCCACCCCCCACCCCCACAAAGGGCTCTCCTTGCCTCCTCTGTCAACTCCAAAAGCCCCAAAACTTAATTTCCTTTGCGTTTAACCAAAACCCAAACACGTTGGCATAAAAGTGGAGGGTTTTCTGAACTTTGCTGAAATTTTTCTTTGCCAGAAATATCGCTTCCTCCAGAACCTTCCTGAAGTTCTGTGAGAGTTTTTAAAAACCTCGTGTCTCCTTGAGAACTTCAGTGTCAGTCTTCAGAGTGACACAGAGCTGACTTCCTCAGGACAGTCTTCCCGTCTCTGCCCAAACAATCAAATGAAACCAAATGGATTGTTTTTAATTTAGAAAAAAATAATTAAAATCGAAGTCAGGTTTTATGGTGACCCTCCAAAGGAATTCAGAGAGATTCATGCACAAAATTTCCTGTGACTATGACAAATGGTTTTCAGGGAAAAACCAAATGCTCACATCATTCGATGCATTTGACCTCACGTGAATTCGAAGACCAGTTGCTCACCTCCTCCCTCTGGAATTTTCTGGCCAGGAATTCAGGCAGAACGTGTTCAGAGAGTCTGTTTTTAGAAATTTTAGACTCTGCTGGCAGGAGTGTCAATGGAAACAACCTCTTTGGAGGACAAATTGATGACAGCTGTCAAAATGTAAAATGTTATTGCTTTAGGACCCAGCAATTTCACTTGTGGAGATCTGATATCAAGTCTTATTTTGTTCATTGAAACAAAAAATTTAAAAACAGTCTAAGTGCCCATTGATAATTATTATGGTAATGTATGTGCTGAAAACCTAAACAGCGGTCAAAAGGAATCAACAATCTCAGAGTCATAATGTTGAGCAAAAAGAGGAAGTTTCATCATTACCTTTTCCATTTAAAAAAATACATAGCTTTTAAAACAAATTATTGGAAAAAGAAACATTACAAATCAAAGTTGTGAGATCAAACTGCCAAAAAGAATGTTATTTTTGAGCTTGATACAAAAGACATTAGGGTGTATATTGAAAACTCTTGTTCTTACACTGTGACAGTTGCTCAAAATTGTAGCACATCAGGTCTAGAGTGGCTTTTTGGTTTTCCAGGAGTTTACAGTTGCCTTTCTTTTCCCTTGACAACAGATATCATGTTCATACATACATATATGCAACATCTTCGATATACAGTGAAAGAGAGACAAGATCTCAAGTTCGTACCAAGACTGTCACACCTCCTGGCATTGGCCTAAGCACTGCCCCCATGCCTGAGCTCTCAACTGGACCCTTGTCACCCAGGCTCTACCCCTGTCGTGCCCCCTTTCCCCTGGTGATCCCACAGGCCCAGGAAAACAGCAGCTGGAACAGTGTCCCTCTCCTCTGTGTCTCAGTTCCCCAGCCTCACATCAGAGGCTGTGCATGATCCAACCCCACCTTAAAAAAATACCACCATTTATTAAGGTTGACCGTGTGCCAGGCACTGTGACAAGTGTTTCACAACTGGCTTTGTTGCCTCCACTTTAGACAGGAGAAAACTGAGGCTCGAGGAGAAGTCACTTGTCCCAGTTCCCACAGCGGTAGGTGGCCCAGCCAGAACTTAACTCCAGAGGCCTGCACTGAAACCATGTATTCACTCTGCCTACATGACTCCCCATTAATGCAGATGGGAGATGTCCTCCTCCCACCCTGCTCCAGGGGACTCTGGGTGGGCCTGACCAACCCAGAGAAATAGCTGGTTGGGCACCACTTGCAGCCCCCAACCCTCCTCCCTCCCAGTAGTGGCTGGGAAGGGTCCGGAATCAGGAATCAATGGGTAGCTGCAAAGGCCAAAGGTCAGTCAGGGGTTTCCTGCCCATCCCTGGGAACTTCCTCCTTCCCGACCCAACTCCCACCTCCTTGATGAACACCACCCTGGAGGACCCCTACCCGCTCAACTACCCCCCACTCCACTACCCTGGCTAATAGGGGGATGGGTCCCCATGCCACCACCTTCAGCCCGCTGTGCCCCCCACAGGCAGTGGACAGCAACTGTGTTATCGTCACCCACCCGTGGTCCAGCCTCCTTTCCATCCCCTTGCCCTGTTCCCCTCGGATCCTCTCCCTCCTCCTGTCAGCCTTGACCCCATGGGGCTAGGGGCTGTGTCCCACTCTGTCTCCCCACCGCCAGGCCTGGGGCTCTTGATGGGGCCTCTGGCATCACCCAGCATAGGGGTTTTCCCTGGAGCTCCTGGATCTGGGGTGACGGGTAGGAGGGCATACCCAGAATCCTTCTTTGCTCCTTGGTCCCAAAACCCCTTCCTTGCCCACCTGGGGGTGACCCACAGTGAAGCTTGACCCCCTCTATCTGGGGCTTCCCCTTCACCATCTCACAGATCCCCAAGATGAGGTTTCCAGCAGGAAATGGTAGTAATAATAACAATGGCAAATCATTTCTCCCAGCCCCCTCCCCGGTCCTGGGACCTGGTACTGTGCTCACCTCATCTCACAGAGGGGAAAACTGAGACAGGAGAAGCCCCTCACTCAAGCTTACCCTGGCCTCAGGTTCACTGCTGCCTGTGCTTACTAAGCACCTACATGAGCCGGGCATTGGGTGGGATGACAGCTAGGGGAACCCGCACCACCACCATCCACCCATCAGCCCTCTGTGAGGCCTTCCTGTGCCAATTAATTACTGAGCACCTACTGTGTGCCTGGCCCTCAGCTAAGCGCTCCGCACAATTTAGCTCCTGTAATCATCACTGCCGTGTAAGATGGGCACACATCTGTAGCCAGCCCTCCCTTGAGGGGAGGGGAGTCCAGCTCTGTGAACGACCAGAGTGAGACACCCAGGCAGTCCTTTGTCCTCCCTTCGTCTCGGTATCCTCCTCCCCACGATGGGGATGTTGACATGAGGTCATAGGCAGGTGAGACCAGCTCTGGGCACAAAGCAAGGGCAGGTGGGGAAACTCAGGCTCAGCAAGACCAAGGACGCCTGGTCACCTAGCCGGTGCCCCACCCAGTGTAAATCAGAGAGGCCCAGACGTGACTTGTTGCCCTCCCCCCTTCCCTTCACAGCCTGGGTGGGAGTGTTGTGATAACCCACAGCCCCCGTTTCCTCCTGGCCAGGAAGGAGCCAGGCAAAGGAAGTATTAAGAGGAGTAATATAAACACTTCCCCCCCTCCCCCCTGCCGTGGCAAGGTCTAGAAGGGGCAGAAGCCACCACCCAGAGCAGACCAGCCAGCAGAGCAGTGCCGGTGCACCGGGCAGAAGCTGGAAGGAGATGGGCCTGGCGATGGAGCACGGGGGATCCTATTCACGGGCAGGGGGCAGCCCGAGGGGCTGCTGGTACTATATGCGCTATTTTTTCCTCTTTGTCTCGCTCATCCAATTCCTCATCATCCTGGGCCTTGTCCTCTTTATGGTCTATGGCAATGCGCACGTGAGTACCGAATCCAACCTGCAGGCCACCGAGCGCCGGGCTGACGGCCTCTACGGCCAGGTGGTGGGGCTCACAGCCTCCCAGGTCAACCTGTCCAAGGAGCTCAACCTCACCTCCCGTGCCAAGGATGCCATCATGGAAATGCTGCTAAACGCCCGCCGCGACCTGGACCGAATCAATGCCAGCTTCCGCCAGTGTCAGGCCGACCGGGTAAGTCCACAGGCCGGACACCCGTCCCGGGGAACCCCGGGATGGTCACCTCACCTCTCTGAGTTTCACTTTCCTCGTTCATGAGACAGGGACAGTCACGGACCCTACATTTTGCATGCCGAGCCCATGTAGAGAAGCAATGTGTATTTGGTCTGTATATCTCATGCAATATTTGGGACACACTTAGACTAAAATATGATTTGTGGTCTATCTGGAATTCAAGTTGAACTGGGCAGCCGGTCTGTTATAAGACCTAGGCCCATGGCTTAATGTGTACAAAGCGCCCAGAATGTACCAGCACACACTAGCTGCAAATAAGAGCTGGCTTCATAAACACTCAGAGTGTTGGATTCTTAGTAATTAGTATGAATGGCTCAGGTTTGCCTGAGACTGGATGTCCGCTTAGGAAATATTATCTCTTCACTGAATCCCAGGAGGTAGGGGGAAGATTTAAAACCCTTTTGCAGAGGGGAAATGGGGGCCTAAGAGAAGAGGTGGCTTGTTGGGGGACGGGGGGCAGCAGGGAGCAGAAACGGGTAACCCTGGGTCTCGTGGAGACTGTCATCCCCCCTCGTACCCCCAACTCCTGTCAAACGCACTCAGCAAGATCCCCCATGTTCTCACACATACACGATTCCTCTGAGGAGGTCCCGTTCCTTGGAACGCTGAGGAGATGTTGCCTCCTCAGGCTTTGGCTGGAATGGGGTGAGAGAAGGGGTGGGCAGGGGAAGGGAAGGGTTGGGGAGAGGGGCAGGCTCTCTTTCTCCCACAGGAGGTGTCTGGGCTGTTTGGGGCAGGGGACCGTGGAAAGAAAAGGCCTTCCCTGGGGCTTCAGACCACCCAGCCCCTGCCACTGGGCAGGAAGGATGTGCACAGCTCCCCTCAGAACTGCCCAGGCAAGGGTGAGGTCTCCCCATCTCATTCCCCCAGGACAGGGCAGGTCCCCCTTAGATCCTCAGAAGAAGGTGAGTCCCCCTCAGACCCCCAAATGAGGCAAGTCCCCCCTCAGACCACAGGGTTGGACCATGTACCCCCTCAAATGCTCCCCACCCCTGACAAGGGCAGCTCCCTCAGACATCTCAGTTCCCGGGAATTGGCTCTTTTGAATCTTTCAGGACACACGTGGTCTTCCGGTCCAGGAGCCATTAGGAATCCCAGGATCATAAAGTTTTGTTCTTTTGTTTTTTGTTTTTTGGTTTTCGTTTTTGGCCATGCTGCGCCAGGATTTTAGTTCCCCCACCAGGGATGGAACCCATGCCCCATGCAGTGGAAGCGCAGGGTCTTAACCACTGGACCTCCAGGGAAATCCCTTTTTTGTTGTTGTTTTTGGTTTTGGGTTTTTTGTTTGTTTGTTTTTATCATAAAGTTTTAGACACTCACACGCATCTCTGAATCCCGGACGGCCCCATCATAGAATATTAGAAATCTAAGAATCTGCCTCTTTACAACTTTAAATTTTGAAAATCGTAGCTTTCCCCCCACACACAAGTTGACAAATTCCTCTGTCCTGGAACCCCTCAGGGGTTTCTCCAAGGACCCCCAGGAAGCGGGCACTGATGCTGGGGAGTAGCCCCACCCCTGCCACGGCAGCCCCACATGTCTGATGGTACCAAGTATGAATTCTGATCTTTCCCTGATCCTGGTGGTGCTATGAGACGGATTTTTTTCTTAAATTCTCTGCAAATGCAGTTGCATTTCTGGCTCTGAGACCCTGGGAGAGAAAGGGGAAATTAACTCAGTGTGGTTTTTTTAGGGTACGCCCCACTCTGCCTGGGTCAAGGAAGCACCTCCACCCAGGATGCATGTGGGAGAGACTTTTTTTGTCATGGATTTTTCTTTATTCAGCATCCGTAATAATCTTTTTGATGGTCAAATTATCCTGAAATAGGCCGTAGGAACACCCGCAATCTGGCTCCTGTGTCTTTTGATGGAACTCCACTAGTCTTTGAGAGCTTCCTTGCTTCCTTCCTTGTCCTAACAAATATTCCAGAAAACCCCTCATATTGTTTATACTTGTTCACTAATCAGTTCTCTTCCTCTGAGTCCAGGGCAACCATGGCTACTGGAAAGTGAGGGAGAGACTCCTGAATTATTTCATAAAGATGTACCTGAACACTCCTTAACAAGAGAAGATACTCTTTTTTGTATTGTCAGATTGCACTAATTCTAAGTAAATATTCTTCTCACCATCTTGACATCTGAGAACCTGTGCAGAAAGATATTTCTGTATTTTTGGGAGCCATTTCCTCCAACTGGAAGAAAACCTCTTTCTCACTTCATCTTTGGAGCCAACTCATACCCTGAGATCGTCCCTTTCTGTAGTTAAGGCTTTTGAAAACAGACGTCACTGGAGCTTCCAGAGCTATTTCTGTCCTCCCCCATGCCCAGGTCATTAGGACAGGGCCAGCTTCCAAAGGAGTAAGGACAGAAAGTGACAGAAAGGCACACCGTCTTCACCCTTCATACCTTTACTTGTTATATTTCTGCAGAGCGTTCTGTTCCAAAGTTTTAAAGACATAAAAAACGTTATAAAGTTCAAATGTAATTCACATGCCATACAATTGGCCCATTTCAAGTGTACATAACGGGGACTTACCTGGCAGTCCAGTGGTTGTGACTCACACTTCCACTGCAGGGGACACTGCAGGGGGCACGGGTTCGATCCCTGGTCCGGGAACTAAGATCCTGCATGCCGTGCGGTGCGGCCAAAAAGAATAGTAATAATTAAGTGTATATAATTTTTTTAAAAAAGTGTAGATGAAAGAAAATAGAAAAAAGTGTACATAACGATGAATTTTAGTACATTCACAGAGTTGGGCAACCGTCAGCACAATTCAGTTTAGAACATTTTCATCACCCCCAAGAGAAACCCCATCAGCAGTCACTTCCCATTCCCCCTCACCCAATTCTATGTTTAACTTTTTGAAAAACTGCCAGAGTGCTTTCCACTGTGGCTCCACCATTTTTACATTCCCATCAGTACTGCCTGAGAATTCTGTTTCTCCACATCCTTACCAACACTTGTCCATTCTCGTTTTCTGTTTTACTTATAGCCATCCTAATGGTTGTGAGGTGATATCTCATCATGGTTTTCATTTGCATTTCCTGATGACTGAAGATGATGAATATCTTTTGGTGTGCTGGTTGACCTTTTATATATCTTCTCTGGAAAAATGTCTATTCAGATGCTTTGCCTATTTTTCAATTTGGGTTGTTTTTTATTATTAATTTCTAAGAGTTTACTTTTATATATTCTGGTTACTATTCTCATCACCAGACACACGATTTGCAAATATTTCCCATCTTTCTTAATGTTGTCCTCTCATGCACAAAAGTTTTTAATTTTAAGTCCAATTTGTCTGCTTTTTCTTTTGCTACTTGTGCTTTTGGTATTATATCTAAGAAACCATTGCCAAATCCAAAGTCATGCAGAGTTAACACCTGTTTTCTTCTAAGGAGTTTTATAGCTTAAGCCCTTACATTTAGGTCTTGGACCCATCTTGAGCTAATTTTTGTATATGGTGTGAGGTAGGGGTCCAAATTCATTCCTTAGTATGTGGCTGTCCAGTTGTGCCAGCACCATTTGTTGAAGAGAATCTTCTTTCCCATGAAACGATCTTGGCAGCTGTATTAGTTGGCTAGGCCTGTCTTACAGTACCACAAATCAGGTGGCTTAAATAACAGAAACTTATTTTCGCACAAGCACAAGATCAAGATGTTGGCGGAATTATTTCCTTCCCAGGCCCATCAGGATCTGTTCCATGTCTCTCTCCTTGGCCTGTTGATGGCTGTCTTTTCCCTGTGTCTTCACATCATGTTCCCTCTGTGCATGTCTGGGTGTCCAGATTTCCTCTTATAAGGACCCACCCTAATGACCTCATCTTAACTTAACTGCCTCTTCCCTGTCTCCAAATACATTTACGTTCTGAGGTCCTGAGAATCAGGGCTTCAACATGGGAATTTGGGGTGGGGGACACAATCCAGCCCATAACAGCATTCTTGTCAAAAAAAAAAAAAAAAAAAATCGGTTTTTCGGGGAATTCCATGGCGTGCAACGGGTTGGGGCTCCGCC